ACAACCCACTGCTGCAGGCACAGCAGCATTTCCCACATTTTCCTTACTCACAAAGGCACAAAGTCATGATACAGTCTGGTAAAACAAGAATGGAAAAAATAGTAACAACTCTCCTGAGAGCACAGGCAGGGAGAAAAGCAGGGCTGAGCAAGGAAGGACAACCACATGCTACAAAAGAAGCCTCTGGTTGATGAAAGTGGAAAGGAAAAGATCCAAGGAGAGACAAATTGTTATTATTACACAGCTCTGCTGTAGGGCAACTGCTGTCCCTCCTGGAAAAAGAAATAGGAGCTGCCTTTAAAATAAAAAAAAAAAGTGAATTTATCGACTCATATCCTGCTCATCCAGCCTTTATTCCCTGGATATGCATGGGTCAGCCTCTGCTCCCAGGGAAATAGCAAAGGGACAAGAGGATTGGCCTCCAGCTGTGCCAGGGGAGGCTCAGGTTGGGCATCAGGAGGAATTCTGTCACAGAAAGGCTGCTCAGGCATTGGCAGGGGCTGCCCAGGGGTGCCCATCCCAAGGAATTCCTGGAGGTGGCACTCAGAGCTCTGGGCTGGGGACAAGGTGGGGACCAGGCACAGTTTGTTTTTAGAAGGTTCTTCTCAATGATTCTACGATTCCATCCTGAATGGCTCAGGCACTTCAGGTTTAACCCCACGGACTGACTTCTTCTGTTCTTTATTACCACTCTGGGACACCTTCCACCACCCCAGGCTGCTCCAAACCCCATCCAGGCTGGCCTTGGACACTCCCAGGGATGGGGCAGCCACAGCTTCCCTGTCCAAGGAGTCGGAGCAGCTGGAACGTGCTGCAATGGCACAGGGGCAGCGTCACTGTAGTGAAAGCACGACGTGATCCACTGCTATTGCAAAGGTGAAAAAGAGGAAGTTTATTTCCTGACTCCAGCATTTCTACTTTTCCAAAAGTGGATTGGAGGGTGAAGGTGCCACCTCTCCAATGACATTGGACAAACCACCAGTACATCCAATTTCTCTGCCTCTATGGAGGAATGGTTAATAATAGATTGTTTACAGAAAGCTGGGTGAGAATGTTCTCTACAAGAATGAAAACTCAGAAGGCTTTAGAAAATCTTAAGAATCAGGGCAAGAGGGCAGCTCAGGGATTAGGGCAGCCTGGCACCTCTGGGCAGCTCCTCCCGGGATCCCCGCGGCCGCTCCTCGCGCAGCCCAAGGAGGCGGCGTGAGGACAGCCCAGCTCCCCAAAACGTGAATAAATGGCATTATTTCCAGGGATTAATGGATTAACACACATGGCTAATTTCTATTTTGGACGCAGAACTGAATCCTCACCTGACCTGACAGCTCAAGAGTAAAACCTGGGCTTTGAGAAAATAGGCCAACAAAACCTCCGTGGTGTCACGCGGCCCTGCCACAGATCTGGAGTCCTGCTCCTTTTCCCAGGGATGCACCAGCTGCTTCAGAGCAGGTTAAACTGATACTCATCCCTTACAACCTCCCAAAGCAGGAAAAAAATCACACAAACAGCCCAGGTAACACAGAGGACAGTGGAGAGACTGGTGGGATTTGTGTTTTCCCCCCAAGCTCAGGTGCTGCCCCAGCCTCTCAGTGCTACGAAAGTCACATTTGCAAGGATAAAGCACCACCAATGCAGAAAACAGAATTAAAAATGAGACACACAAAGCCTTGTCACTGTAGGCTGACAAGCCATAGGCCACACCAAGACCAAGTGCCAACCCAAAAATTTGGTAGTTTAATTTTAAAAACCAACAAAAACACCAAAAAGGGAATGAGCATAGCACAGTCATCCTCTCTTTGCTCTTCCTGCTTTCCATCCATAAAGGCCAACACCCTGCTGATCCCTGTAAAGATTCCCAGAGCAGCTGTGGCTGCCCTGGATCCCTGGCAGTGCCCAAGGCCAGGCTGGACCCTGGGCTGGGAACACTGGGACAGTGGGATGTGTCCCTGCCCAGGGATGGAATGGGCTGGGCTTTAAGGTCCCTTCCAACCCACACCATTCTGTCATCCCATGATAAGAATCTCAAGCCCCAGTGCCTGTTTTTCCAGCTGCCTGGGGGTTCCCCTACCTGGAGCAAGGTGAGCTGGCACAGCAGCTCCTTCTTGGCTGGAATCCCAGGCACCTGGAGCTGCTCCCACTTCCAGCTGGGCTGATTGCAGCTGTTTTCT